ATGTGAGGTAGTGGTGAGTGGTTGGTTGTCTGTGTGAGGGCAGTGGTGGGTGAGGTGGTGAGTGGTTGTTTGGGTGAGGGTAGTGGAGGTGGGTGGTGGGTGGTTGGTTGTCTGTGTGAGGTGGTGAGTGGAGTGGTTGGTTGTCTGTGTGAGGTAGTGAGTGGTTGGTTGGTTGTCTGTGTGAGGTAGTAAGTGGGTGGTTGGTTTCTGTGTGAGGTAGTGAGTGGTTGGTTGGTTGTCTGTGTAAGGTGGTGGGTGGTGGTGGTGGTTGTTTGGGTGAGGTAGTGGTGAGTGGTGAGTGGTTGGTTGCCTGTTTGAGGGTGGAGTGAGTGGGTGGTTGGTAGTCTGTGTGAGGTAGTGAGTGGTTGCTTGGTTGTCTGTGTGAGGTAGTGAGTGGTTGGTTGGTTGTCTGTGTGGAGGAGTGGGAGTGAGTGAGTGAGTGGTTGGTTGTTTGGGTAAGTGTAGGGAGGAGGAGGAGTGGTTGGTTGTCTATGTGAGGTAGTGAGTGAGTGGGTTGGTTGTTAATGTGAGGTAGTGGAGTGGAGTGGTTGTTGTCTGTGGAGGGCAGGGAGGAGTGAGTGGAGTGAGTGGTTGTTTGGGTGAGGTAGGGGAGTGGAGTGAGTGAGTGGTTGGTTGTCTGTGTGAGGTAGGAGGAGGTGGTTGGTTGTCTGTGTGAGGTGAGTGGAGGAGGGTTGTTTGTCTGTGTGAGGTGTAGGGAGGATGGTTGGTTGTCTGGGTGATGAAGGAGGGTTGGTTCTTCTGTGTGGTAGTGAGGAGTGAGTGAGAGGTTGGTTGTTCTAGGGAGGTAGTGAGGGGTGGTTGGTTGTCTGTGTGGAGGTAGTGAGGAGTGGTTGTTTGTCTGTTTGAGGTAGTGAGGAGTGGTTGGTTGTCTGGGTGATGTAGTGAGTGGTTGGTTGTCTGTGCGTGGAGTAAGGAGTGAGTGAGTGGTTGGTTGTCTGTGTGATGTAGTGAGTGAGTGGAGTGGAGTGAGAGGTTGGTTGTCTATGTGGAGGTTGTGGAGTGAGTGGTTGGTTGTCAATGTGAGGTGGAGGAGGTTGGTTGTCTATGGAGAGGTAGTGGAGGAGTGACTGGTTGTCTGTGTGATGGTGAGTGGGGAGTGAATGAGTGGTTGGTTGTCTGTGGAGGGTGAGGAGTGATTGTTTGTTTATGTGGAGGTAGAGAGGAGTGGTTGGTTGTCTGTGATGTAGTGAGGAGGAGTGAGTGGTTGGTTGTCTATGTGGAGGTAGTGAGTGAGTGGTTGTTGTGTGTGAGGTACTGGTGAGTGAGTGGTTGGTTGTCTCTGTGGGGTAATGAGTGAGTGAGTGGTTGGTTGCCTCTGTGAGGTCGTGAGTGAGTGAGTGATTGGTTGTCTCTGTTAGGTAGTGAGTGGATAAGGCGTTGGTTGTCTTGTGGGAGGTAGTGAGTGAGTGAGGCGTTGGTTGTCTGTGTGAGGTAGTGAGTGGTTGGTTGTTTGGGAGGTAGTGAGTTTTGAGTGAGTGAGTGAGTGGTTGGTTGTCTCTGTGGGGTAATGAGTGAGTGAGTGGTTGGTTGCCTCTGTTAGATAGTGAGTGAGTGAGTGGTTGGGTGTCTCCGTGAGGTAGTGAGTGAGTGAGGCGTTGGTTGTCTGTGTGAGGTAGTAAGTGATTGGTTGGTTGGTTTTCTGTGTGAGATAATAAGTGGTGGGTTGTCTGTGTGAGGTAGTGAGTGAGTGGTTGATTGTCTGTGTGAGGGGTAGTGAGGAGGAGGTTGGTTGTGTCTTTGAGGTAGTGGGGTGGGTGAGGCGTTGGTTGTCTGTGTGAGGTAGGAGGAGCGGACGTTGCTTGTCTGTGTGAGGTAGTAAGTGATTGGTTGGTTGGTTGTCTGTGTGAGATAGTAAGTGGTGGGTTGTCTGTGTGAGGTAGTGAGTGAGTGGTTGATTGTCTGTGTGAGGTAGTGAGTGAGTGAGTGGTTGGTTGTCTGTGTGATGTAGTAAGTGATTGTTTGGTTGGTTGTCTGTGTGAGATAGTGAGTGGGTGGTTGTTTGTCTGTGTGACGTAGTGAGTTAGTGGTTGGTTGTCTGTGTGAGGTTGTGATTGAGTGGTTGATTGTCTGTGTGAGGTAGTGAGTGAGTGAGTGGTTCGTTGTCTGTGTGACGTAGTGAGTGGGTGGTTGTTGTCTGTGTGACGTAGTGAGTTAGTGGTTGGTTGTCTGTGTGAGGTTGTGAGTGAGTGAGTGAGTGGTGGTACTAGTAGTATAACCACCATATCCCCACCAGCTGGTACTTTATTATAACCACCATATCCCCACCAGCTGGTACTAGTAATATAACCACCATATCCCCACCAGCTGGTACTAGTAATATAACCACCATATCTCCACCAGCTGGTACTAGTAGTATAACCACCATATCTCCACCAGCTGGTACTAGTAGTATAACCGCCATATCTCCACCAGCTGGTACTAGTAGTATAACCACCATATTCCACCAGTGGTACTAGTAGTATAACCACCATATCCCCACCAGCTGGTACTGTTATTATAACCGCCATATTCCACCAGCTGGTACTAGTAATATAACCACCATTTCCCCACCAGCTGGTACTAGTAATATAACCACCATTCCACCAGCTGGTACTAGTAGTATAACCACCATATTCCCACCAGCTGGTACTAGTAGTATAACCGCCATATCTCCACCAGCTGGTACTAGTAGTATAAACCACCATATTCCACCACCAGCTGGTACTAGTAGTATAACCACCATATCTCCACCAGCTGGTACTAGTAGTATAACCACCATATCCACCAGTTGGTACTAGTAGTATAACCACCATATCTCCACCAGGGTACTAGTAGTATAACCACCTTTATCTCCACCAGCTGGTACTAGTAGTATAACCACCATATCTCTACCAGCTGGTACTAGTAGTATAACCACCATACTCTCACCAGCTGGTACTAGTAGTATAACCACCATATCTCCACCAGCTGGTACTAGTAGTATAACCACCATATTCACCAGCTGGTACTAGTAGTATAACCACCATATTCCACCAGCTGGTACTAGTAGTATAACCAATTATCTCCACCAGCTGGTACTAGTAGTATAACCACCTTTATTCTCACCAGTGGTACTAGTAGTATAACCGCCATATCTCCACCAGCTGGTACTAGTAGTATAACCACCATATCTCCACCAGCTGGTACTAGTAGTATAAACCACCATATCTCCACCAGCTGGTACTAGTAGTATAAACCACTTTATCTCCCCAGCTGGTACTAGTAGTATAACCACCATATTCTCCAGCTGGTATTAGTAGTATAACCACCATATTCCACCAGCTGGTACTAGTAGTATAACCATATCTCCACCAGCTGGTATCAGTAGTATAACCACCATATCTCTACCAGCTGGTATTAGTAGTATAACCACCATATTCCACCAGCTGGTATTAGTAGTATAACCACCATCTCCACCACTGGATTATAGTATAACCACCATATCTCCACCAGCTGGTACTAGTAGTATAACCACCATATCTCTACCAGCTGGTATTAGTAGTATAACCACCATATCTCCACCAGCTGGTACTAGTAGTATAACCACCATATCTCCACCAGCTGGTAGTAGTAGTATAACCACCATATCCCCACCAGCTGGTACTTTTTACGGGGATTAGCCCACCACACACAGTACTGACCCAATATCAGCCGGGGGCGAAAATATAATATTAAATATAATAGTAATTATAATAATAATAATAATAAAAATAATAATAATAATAATAATAATAATATTTATAATAATAATATATTTGATAAAATCATTAAAACTTTTATAAACAAAATACAAAATTAAAAATAAAATAAAATTATAATAAAGATCATGAGTGAGAAACGATATACTGTATATATGTTGTGTCGTCAAAGTGAGAGTAACAATTGAGACCCTGCAATTGTGTGTAAATGAGTCAGAAATTCAGATTAGCAACCTGGGACTTGGTTACAATTTTTGTGGTGCCATATGGCAGCAGGGTCTACTATTAGACAACGCATTATGCTTCCAATGTCTTCCCTGGTGGTAATACCTCTCTGTTTGATAGCTGCCTGCGACTTACTACCTGCGAGGTAATGAGTGAGTGAGTGGTTGGTTGGTTGTCTGTGCGAGGTAGTGAGTGGTTGGTTGTCTGTGTGAGGTAGTGAGTGGTTGGTTGTCTGTGCATGGTAGTGAGTGAGTGAGTGTTTGGTGGTCTGTGTGAGGTATTGAGCGAGTGAGTGGTTGTTTGTCTGTGTGAGGTAGTGAGTGGTTGGTTTACCGTGTGAGGTAGTGAATAAGTGGTTGCCTGTGTGAAAGAGTGGTTGGTTGTCTGTGTGAGGTAGTGAGGTTGTTTTCTGTGTGAGGTAGTGAGTGGTTGGTTGTCTGTGTGAGGTAGTGAGTGGTTGGTTGTCTATGTGAGGTAGTGAGTGGTTGGTTGTCTGTGTGAGGTAGTGAGTGGTTGGTTGTCTGTGCATGGTAGTGAGTGAGTGAGTGTTTGGTTGTCTGTGTGAGGTAGTGAGCGAGTGAATGGTTGTTCGTCTGTGTGAGGTAGTGAGTGGTTGGTTGTCTGTGGGAGGGTGAGTGGTTGGTTGTCTGTGCGTGGGAGTGAGTGGGTGGTTGGTTGTCTGTGGTTGAGACTGATCGAGTGGCAGTTTGTGTGTGTTTGGTGTGACAAGCAGAGTTCTATTAGTTGGTTGTGTGCCATTTACCAGCGTTACCATCTGGAGAAACGTGTTTACAAAGATGTATCGTGAATGATTTTTTTGTGAATTACTGTGTTTCGTCTGTTGTATATCCTGGAACACTGTTTTGACAGGCCCATCAAGAACCACTCTATAGTAACATTATCTCTATATGTTGTGTGAGGGTCCAGAGCCAATGAGAATTTAATGTAAGATACGTGAATAATAGTTTTATCTGTGAGTTCTTGTCTCTTGTGAGTCAAAGAACAACTATAAGACCTTAACCTGCCTCTCCACCACAGGTACGTGAGGGAGAACAACATGATGGTGACCAAAAAGCCAAAAGAGACGTTTAAGTACGTAGTGTTGTTGAGGTGACAACGTCGTCGGCAGGAGAACAGCAGCAGCTCCGGGCGGCGACACAGCGACTGCGGGTAGAGCGGTGGAGCGGCTACACAGGCATCTACACTGTTCACACCCTCCAGGATTTTAGCGACAACTTCTCCAGCAACGACAGCATCAGTAGGATCGTTGGAGACGTCATGTGACAGTTCTGGTTTCAGTCTTCTGGAAAAGGACGCCGATGACCGAAGGAGACGAGACAGGTCGAGTGACGGTGCCTCGACCCTGGCCGAGGGGTAATGTCCTCAAGTGTGTGTTTGCTTGTTGTGTTGTCAGCGAATATATTCTTACATGGAAAATGAGAACATTTGTAAATAGAATAAAAATTTAATAATGTGAAAACAGTGGACCAGAAGTGAGCGTGCTGTGAATATGATGGTGAAAGCATCAAGTGCGAAACCCCAGCAGTTCCCTGGTGGAAAGTGTTCTGGGATGAGCACGCCCAACTGATAATATTTAGCAGTGTTGAAATTAAAATGCGGAAAGTATTAAAAGAAGTGAATAATCTGACTATGAAACGCACCTATTACACAGAATTAATCTTCACGGGTATTAACTGAGGGAGTAAGTCTCCCTCAGTTAATGTACGGACATTTGATGATGATGATCGCTGACACACAAGTTTAGGATACTGGGGCACTGGGAGCAACAAAGAAATAACTGATATCGGCTTTAATTGCCGCCATGCAACTGTCGCGTACACACTGATCTCGATCTACTGTAAACACTAACGGAAGGACAAAGATAACCCGAAGATAACTAGGAGGTGCAAGAGCAACAGCTCCAGTTGGGATACTCTGTTTTATGAGGAAGTTCTCATTAACTGACCAGCGAAACGTGGCGCTGGTTACCACTGTCCTGCTTGGAGGTTAACAACAAGAAACACCGACAGGCAGATTTTTCACAATATACCCGCCAGTCTACGACTTGAGTCACTCTCTGGGTCACAGTGAGCAGTCTGCATCAGTAGTGATTAAGGTGTGGACCAGCGGACACCAGACCGTCTCTGTGAGTACTGATAACCCGTCTAGCTGGACCAAACTGGTGATCTCAGACGATCCCCAATGAACCAAGTCACATATGCGAGGCTCATGATTCTTCCACCGTGAGAACCAGTACGTCTAGTGACCAGCATCCTGTGGAGCTCCTCCTGCTGGGGAAGTGACACAAGGAGTGACTCAGTGGTGGTGTCGCTTGACCTCACACGCAAGATACTTCCACACAGGCGATGTGTCGTCACCTGTCAAGACTGTAAGGCTGGTCCCTCCTCTCTCACGGTGCATCATATTATAGACGCCTCTAGGTTTGTGAAATCTAGTCCTAATGTTACATTTAATTTTCATTCCATATAAAGAGTAATTTATATCCAGTTCATGTGAAAAATCAACCATAATAATTTGCTTATATGAGAATTTACTGTTCCATCATTAAAAAAAGAAACCTGTCCCGATTGTATCTAAAAATAATTTATATATATATATATATATATATATATATATATATATATATATATATATATATATATATATATATATATATATATATATATATATATATATATATATATATATATATATATATATATATATATATATATAATTATTCCTCATCTGCTTAGTTTACTGCATATAATTTAATTTATTAAAAACATTCTCCTAAGAATATTGAGGTATGATGATAAACAAAAATTATATGGTATAATACGTGTTCTTATTCCTTTAACGATGGATTATGGCAGAGGTCCTAGTAGACACCCTCGTAGGTTTCATAATGCTTCATGTTCTGCCTCCTGCGAGCCTCATAGAAAGTAGTCAACTTGATAACTTATAATCTCCGCTTATCGTGGGTCATATGCAGTAAGCTTCCATGGCAGAAGTTAATAGCCAGACACGACAGGGATATAACAACAAGGACAGATAGGATGGGCAGGTCACGACCGACACGGACAACAGATTACAGATTGCCCACGAGGGGGCTAGTTTATTGGGCACCCCCTTACATCCTGCAGCAAGGTGAAGCGCAGAAGCGTTTACAGTGCCCAACTGGGAAGCATGCGGAGTTCATGCTTGCCTTTATGACTCATGCATTAGGGCGTAAAAAGACTCCATGGCCGTATTTTGTCAGCAAGTTACATAAAGTGACAATGATGAGTGTGTGGGGAAAATTCCCGGTACAATTTATCTGTTTATGGCAAAAGTGGCAGGTCCTTAATAATGTCAAGTGCCAGGCCTGTCACTATAGAGGGAAATGGTAACAATGGTTTTAAATTAGACAAATTTAGATTTAGGCGGGAAATAGGTAAACACTGGTTTGGAAACAGAGTAGTGGATGAATGGAACAAGTTACCAAATATCATCATTAACTCGAATACGCTGAATAGCTTCAAACATAGGTTGGATGCTTATATGAGCAATAGGGGTTGGGTGTAAAAGGACTGCTCCAGTATGGCCAATAGGCCCGCTGCAGTTTCTCCATTCATTATGTTCTAATGTGGCAACATTCATCCGCGTCTACAGAGGGGGGGGGGGGCAGCAGGACGACCCCGTCAAAGCCAACAGTACTAAGTGTTTCATAGGCCTCAGGAGTCTGACACTTGATAAAGTTCCGGTTCTTACCTTGTCGGAATTCAATGCTGAAACCGTGCTGTCTGCAGTACTTCATCATCCAGTTAAAGCGTTCCTCTACAGTTTTCAGAGAGTCCTTGGGGAAGTGGAGATTCAGCTTACTTGTTTGTTTGGCAGAGGGCAGGGTGATAGGGTCCATGGCATTGGTGTTTCCACTATGGCTAGCGTTTCCCATAGAAACATTAGCGTCACTGTCATAATCACTGGGGTCTGACTCTTGAAGGGTGTTGGATTCAGTATGACCAGGCGAGTTGGTAATGGCATCAGTATCAGAGATGTCTGCGTCTGCGTCTATGAGAGAGCCTCTTCTGGGACGCTTATGTCGACCCCCCATGCTGGCAAAACTTGCCGGCTGAGGGGACCTTGGTGGGACGATCGGGAAGTCAAGAGCACCTATGGGCACGTCTGTCCCCTTGGGTGGTCACGCCCCGACTGGACACGGACAATAAGTCTTTACAGGTCACGGGTCTGACCTTGCAGGATGACCTCGCCCTCCCTCACCCGTTTTGTTGTATATTTCAAACTTCTCTCTTTTTGTCTCTTTCTTAAGTTACTAATTATATTACTGAGTATGTCATACATACTGATCCCGCTAGTTATATAATACAATTTATATATAATACGTAGGTGACAGAGTCTATATTTGCATATCGCCACCTTGAAGAAATAAATATGATTATCAAAGGTAGGAAGAAAGTATGAGAGACGACTTGATAATTTGCAGAAGGACACTTAGCAGCGTTACACAGTAAATTAAAAAAATCATAACATATATGTGTATATAATCTTTCATTATTATTACTGTTATAAAGCTTATAGACCTGTGATATATTGTAGAAATTCATCAGAAAAATATTACAAACTATTCATTCAAAAAACTTCAGAAATTCAACTACTTATACAGGATGTTATTATCATCACAGCAAATAAAAATAATTACTAACTTTAACTTATTTGTTTTCCTTAATTTTCATCTTAGTGAGGTGGTGGATGAGCTACATGTCTTGTCTTATATTCAAGTGAGAAACTCCTAAAGGCAAGGTAAAAGGCAAGGCCCCACAGTACAATCAACACGATGCAGGTTATCAATCACTAACTCTTTGGTGTATCGAGAGTATTTCACCTTATATGTCAACATGAGAACAACACACATACACACACACACACATTAGGCAGTTCAGTACGTTTACGGAAAGACAGTGCGTATTTTCAAGGTGTCAGCGACTGTGAGTGCTAGACATATGTGCATATGTCACGCTACCGTCGCACCGACCTGTTCCTGCTGAAGTCTGGTGCTGGCTATCCTCTACCCCACACCATCATTCTACTGAAGGCACCGAGAATCTTTTACAACAGTGGCTGCAGACGAATCCCTATCATCACGTCGAGCAAGCATAAGAAAGTTAAGCCATTGCCAGAAAGACAGTGTGCTCGCTATGAAGTGCCGCGACTATGGTACAGCCTACCATCCCTATTGCTGTCCAATGTTACATCTTTATGCAACAAGGTGGAAGAGGTCAGTGTTACAGTGAAGTCAGTTGGTGCAGGTATTGTGGCGATAACCGAGGCGTGGCAAATTGTTCCTGAGATCTGTGCCATAGAAAATTATGAGTTATTTCACCACCATAGAAATGACAGACGAGGTGGTGGTGTAGTTGTGTATTGTCGCAGTGACGTTAAACCATCACACCTAGGTGTTAATGTACCTGAGGATGTAGAAGCTTTGTGGGTTATGGTCACTCCCACCTCCCACCCCTGCCAGCTTGCCTCCCTCAGTGTTTGTGTGGCTTATCACCCCCTGCGCTCACCTACCGCCACTGTACTGGTTACTAATATAATAGACACTGCTGACTTCCTGAGATCCAGATTTCCATGTGCTAAACTAGTGATATGTGGTGACTTTAATGAGTTTGACATCAGCAACATCACCCAACACCGCCACCTTGCACAGATAGTTGACTTTCCCACACACGGGAATGCCACCCTGGACCTCATCATGACTAATCTCGGCAACCACTAACTTCCTCCCCAGCCGTTGCCTCCCATGGGGCGAAGCACCCACCTGTCTCTACTGTGGACACCTACAGTCCTACACCTACCATCTCACGACCGCCAGTTATCACCAGGACTTACCGACCTACCCCTGACTCTGCCATGCGGCGTTTCGGAAAATGGGTGACCCGGTATCCCTGGACTAAAGTGATCACGGTAGACGATGTGCAGAACAAGTGGGATAATTACCTGGACACTATCACCAAAGCCTACCACCACTTCTTTCCAACCAAGACACTGAGGATCCTCGCCGATGATGTCCCATGGATTACACCCCGTATCAAAAGACTAATTGAGCAGCACAACAAGGCATACTACACCAACAAGCGCCTGTACTAAAGTCTACTTAACCAGGTCATCAGGGAAATCACGTCAGCCAAGAAGTCTTATTATCCCAGGAAAGTGCATGGCCTCAAGGAGGTCGGCATCGGTCAGTGGCACTCTAAGGTAAAAGATGTCTGTGGTCTTAACCGCCAGTCTCCCGCATTTCCTTTTATCTCTCACTTAGCTAGTGAGGAGGCCGCTGAGACAATTAATAATCAATTTGCTTCTATATGTCATACCCTACCCAGTCTTGACCTCACTCTCCTCCCGGCCTACTAACCTTCCCCCTCCTCCCCTCCCAGTGTTCAACCATATGAAATTGGTAACAAACTCCTGAAATTTAAATCCAAACGCTCTACAACCCCAATTGACCTCCCAGTCAAAATTTACAAAGAGTTTGCAGTCGAACTTGCCACCCCACTCTGTTCCATTATTAATGCATCCCTCAGACAAAGCAAATGCCCTAATAAATGGGAAACAGCATTTGTCACCCCTATCCTAAAGGTCTCCACCTCATAGTCCCCTAGTGACCTAAGGCTAGTTGCCATTACCCCCATACCCAGTCTACCTCACACAGTCCGCCACTACAGTACAACAAAATTCAGCCCATAAAAGCCCACACTGATAGATATAAGAACAGCACCATCCCATCTATTGTTAAAATAATAAACAACTCCTGATTTATGTATTGCACAGCCCTGTAAATGTATTGAGCATACATCATTATGTCTAAATCACATGTAAAATTGCAAAATTTCAGCCACCGGTTGAAACTCTGTTAATAAACCATTTATTATTATTATCATTATTATTACACTACTACTACTACTACTTTGCTGTCACTCGGAATCGAGTATGACGGTCATCCATCTGTAATAGCCCCTGTCTCATCAACAGAAAGATTATATAAATGGGTTAATTACATTTGAATTATATACCATATCATCCCCTGTAACTTTCCACTGGCTATGAGTTGTCATTTGCTTATCACGTGATTAGTAGCTTCCTTGAGGTGCGGCCAGTAAATGCTTGGATCAGCATAGAGAAGCTGGCACCCAGGAGGCGTTGTTACTCAATCCCTCACGCAAGTCGGACGTGATTAACAGGTCTATTTACATAGCCTCCGTCCTTCTCTTAACATTAATTTATAGTGAAAGTTACGGTTGATTTACACTCTGGAATTGTATCAATAGCAGTTCCTCAATAAAAGGAAAAACAGACAATTGGGTTTCGCTCCTAAAACCCAATATAATATAAATGTACCAGCCTAATTAATTTCTACAGAATTCTACAGTTAACCGGCTATTACACATCTATGATAAAATGATATGGGTTAGTAGGGTTGTCACTTAGGTTAGTGAGTTTTGAGGTGACTAAAGAGGCGGATATGGTACCCGCGGCTTC